AAAGAAGAGAGGCGAGAGTCTCTCTCTTTGCTGTCTTTGCTCTGCCATTTTTGCAATCTGATACCCTGCTGTCACTGTAGTCATCACCAAAGAAAGCATTCACCAGCTGTGTCCCCTGGACTTTGGACTTCCTAGCCTCTGAAACTGTAAGCAAATAAATTTTGTTTTCTTTAAACAATAGCCAGTTCGATGTATTTTGTTATAAGCAACAGAAACAGACTAATACAGATGGATAAACAAAATGTGGTGTATTCATACAATGGAATATTATTCGGCCTTAAAACGGAAGAAATTCTGACACATCCTACAACATGGACGAACCTTGAGGATGTTGTGCTAAGTGAGATAAGACAGTCACAAAAGGACAAATATTGTATGATTCCACTTATAAGAGGTACCCAGGGTAGACAAATTTAGAGAGAGAGAAAGTAGAGTGATTGCCAAGGGCTGGACAAAGGAGGGGATGGGGAATTGGTGTTTAAGGCATACAGAATTTCAGTTGGGGAAGATGAAAAAGTTCTGGAGATGGTTGGAGGTGATGGTTGCACAACAGTGTGAATGTAGTTAATGCCACCGAAATTGGTTAAGATGATAAATCTTATGTTATGTACGAGTATATTTAACTACATACACACAAACACATGCACTCATGACTCTAAAAATAAAAAGCTGTTAATGGTTGAGAAAGAAAAGACTGCATGAAGAATGATGTACTCTGTTCATGTATATGAAATGCTAGCAGAGGAGATGATTAGTCATTTTTCCATTTCAGCAGAAATAAAAATGAAAGACTATCTAATTTATTGCCTAAAGGATCAAAGGTCAGCCATAAGAAAATTTTCTTGTGGAAATATTTCTTAAATTCTAGAATATAATACTAAATGAAATGAAGGGAAATTCAAGAATTGCTTTTCATCTTTTTTGGAATGCTCTGAATGTATCCTGCAGATCCTTTCCATAGAATAGTGGATTAACTAGATGCTCACGGTCCTTTTTTCTCCTCCGATTTTATGAAACTTATCCATTTCATACTGGTGACATTATCACCTGGCAACTAAAAAGAAATCTGGCTCTAGGGGAGATGTCCTTTGTTCAAACAAGTTTAAAATTATTATAATGTCCATGACTTGTAACTATTTCTATAGAATTTAACTAGTAATCACCAAAGTTTTTAAGACTCACTTTAAAAATTTTATGTAAGGACAAAAATCAGAGTTGACCTTTTCTGCCATGTTTTCACTCTTAAAATATACACTCACCTTTCGATTGTTCACAGAATGTTCACAATGCATTATAAACTTACTTAGTACAGGAACTAAATCGTATTCAGTATTGTGTACAGCAGTTATTCCATTGTTTGAGTATTTATCAAAAATTTTTACTAGGTGTTTTAAGAATATCTGGTCTTTTCCTAGAAACGAAAGTATTTTAAGATAAACAACCACACACCAAAACCCTTATCAGATTATAATAACCATAATAATACTTTAAATTACAGAATGCTTTTTTTTGTAAGAATGTTAAGATGCTTATACACACCACAACTTATATTTATGGCACCATTTGGGTAAGAGAGTATTTCTGATGGCTCATTTCATCAGATACT